TGATAGCATGTGGGTTGGTGCGATCGGCAGGCGGGTGGAATTGGCACGTGGCCGCGTCCATTGGCAGCACTGCGCGAAGTAGCGGGGTCGATTGTATGGCGGCATGGTTGTCATTTGTGACTTCCTTTCTTGTTTTCGTCGTTTGGACGGTTGCGTGGTTCGTACAGTTGTACGAATGTTTCATATTGGAAGAACCTTTTTTTTGTGTATCTCTCTCCGTTTTGTTTTTCTTTTTTTTTTTACATTTTTTTGTTTTATTTTATTTATATACTTTTTTTTTTTGGTGTCTGTGTCTTCAAATCGCTTGTCTCGAATGTTTCGGTTTGGTGAGAAGTTTTCTTCTTTTTTTTCTTCTGCATCCTCAACTCCTTTTTCATTTGTTTTTGTGTATCTCTTGAAATCTCCAGTCGCGCATGTTTTCGTTTGCTTCTCTAGCGGGACGACAGACATACGTGTTTTGCAATTGTTGATGCAACCTGCTTAACATTAATAAACTACGTAACACAAAAAACAAACATAGATGAACATGGATTGCGTGCATGCATAGGAGTCGATCATCTGCAATCATCTTGCAATCATTCCACAAAACTTGATAGAAGACACGAAAACAACGAACACATCACATAAAAAAAAGAGTGCGCTGAAAGCGCTATGAACTTCTCTCGCAGCGAACTGCGAATATAAGTACACAATACACGACGACATTGAATGATCTCGTCGTCGACTAGAACGACCGACACACTGCACACCTGCACTAAACGCACCACAAACCATTCAAACCTATCAACCCGAATTTGTGGCAGAGGCGACGCGCTAAACAAGTGCGCAACCGACGACGATCTTGCGGAATCCCTCTCTCCGACACACTAAACAGATGTGCACTTTGCGTCGGTGCAACCCCATCCTCCCGCATGACGACCATCCACTACTACATGCGCGCGAGTCCACAGAAGCAGCCAAACCTCCGCTCCCATCCCATCCGTCTTCCTCCCCAGCCAACTATCAGCCCCAACCTCCCCCCCCCTTACGCGTCATCTTTCCCGTCGTTGTTGTCGTCATCATCAGAGGGGCCCGAACCCAACCAATCTAGCTTTTTTGCATCCTCCGGCCCCGTTATGCTCGCGTCGTGCCTGAAAGCAATGCCGCAGGGCGCCCATTGAGGTATGTAGTTGGGGTACTGTCCGAACGTAGCGTTCGCCTTCCCTAGCCTCTATGTGACGACTTTCGCGGCGCGGACGACGGATCGTCAATGATCGAAGGAGCGATGCATAGCCGCGACGAGTGTGGGTTTCGCCACGAGGTCCGCGAAGTAGAAAGCCTCGTAGTGGCTGCGCGGATCGTCTCCCGCCATGCGCATTATCCACATGCACGCCGCCAGCAACAGCCTGAAGCAATCAGCCACCCGAGAAAGACAATCGTGCGAGATGAACTCGCCGTTGATGAGTGCCCCCATTTGCACGGCCGCGCGGAATGCATACGCGACGCGGATGACGGTGGACTCCTGGTGCGCCGCCATGTCGTCGTCCTCTGGTCTGTCCTCGATGTTGGCGCCGGCGAACCAAAGCGGTAGGTCCATGGACAGATCTATCGTGTGCGCGCAAATCGTCGGACTGACAACCTCGCACCACTCCTCGCCGTACCACATGGCACGCGCAATGTCCGTCGCAAAGGATTCCAGCGAGTACTGGAAAGCCACATGGTATCCCCTTGGCCGATTTCCGGACTTGAATACCCATCCGTGCAAGATGCGTAGAGCAACGTTCTCCACTGCCGCCACATGGGAGATCGCTTGCTACAGCTATGATTGGTTGACGATCCTGGCCACGTGCATGCTTGCTTTGGGCAGAACGACGCTCCGAGGGACGTCGGGCGCTGGAAGTCCGCTGGTGATGGCGACGAAGTACTCTTTCGTTTCGTGGACGATGTTGTATAGTCTTCGCCCCTCCCCCGTCGTCCAGAAAGCTTTGTCATCAACCCAAAGGACGGCACGATCGATGAGGTCTTTTGTCATGATACTCCTTCGTGCCCGGCTTGAACCGGGCTCGCCTGCCTCCTGATCGCCTTTCCTCTCGCCACGCGCCTCCTCTCTCGCCGTCGCCGCAACTACTGCCTCATCCCTCCCCGTCGCAACGGCGGCCACAGTTCCTGAACCGCCCGCCCCCGCAGCACCTGCCTCCTGGGCGCCAACTGCGCGCACGTCTGCCACGACTTCCCCCCCGCCACCACGTTGGACGGACCCTCCATCACCAGTGTCGTTGCGCTGACGTGGCTGAGACGGTGTGGCGGGCAGCCTACCCGAGACTGGCCTTTCATTTGCAGCAACGCGCATGACCACCTCTTGCGGTGGGATCGCCGTCGTACGAATGCGAATGCGACGTCTCTCCAAGGGCTCGTCATCATCGCCGCCAAGGTCGACGACGAGAGCCTTCTCTGTCCGCGTTTCACGGCCACGCAGTTGCTGCGCCTCGGGTGGAGGGGTCTGCATCCTCTTCGAAGCGGTGTGATCAGAAGAGCGTTGCCGACCGCTCTCGCGCACTTTAGACGTTGTCGCCTCCGCCTGCTCCTCCTACGTCGTGAACTCATCGTCATAGTCCCCTTCTGCTGCCTCCGCCCAACCTTGCGGTCCACGACGAGGCACCCTTGCTGACGCATCTTCCGTACGCACCCTCTTCGCTTTCGGGGCCTGCCGCCGCCCTCTTCCCTGCCCTTGGTTGTCGTCGACGACTACGTCTCGCTTCTTCCCACGGGTGTTTCCTCGCGTAGACATGTTTCGTGGTGACCTCTGCAGGCGAGCTTGGCAGTGTGATCGGACGAGCGGGAAGTGTGGCCGACCTAGCGAAAAATATGTCTCCCGTGGAAAAGGTCTCCCGTGCGGCTGTGGCGCGAAGACGACGACGTGCACGTGGCAGACAGAAGATCTTTCCTCTTCGGGAACAAGACGTGACGATGACGGACACCCACGCGACGCAGTAGATCAGTCCTCCGCAGCGAGAAGAATAGAAGAGCGACGATCACAACGATCCGCAGCGAGCAGGCTTGCAGCACTTCGTCGTTGTTGCGGGAAGAAGACGTGACGACGACGGACACCCCCGCGACGCAGGAGATCAGTCCTCCGCGGGAAGAAGACGACGACGTGCACTTGGTACAGAGAAGGACGAAGACCACGGCGAGAGCACTCCGCGCTGAGAAGACTGGCGGCGAGCAGGCTTGCAGCACTTCGTTGTTGTTGCGGGCGGTTTGCAGCAGGCGCGGCGGGCTTCTGTACTGGAGACACCTTCGCGGCGTGGACGACATACAGACGGGTTGGGATGCGCAGGACTTAAGTAGTCTTTCGGAGATGGACCTCCCGCGACGTCGCTTCTCTCTGGCGGGAAATGACATCGTCGACGGTGGCACGTGCGACCGCCCTGCCCACACTGCCGTGTCATTTCCATCCTCCCGAAGGCGCGAAAAGACCCTTCGACGTCCCTGGCGACGCGCGTCAATTCACTTGCCAGGGACCGAACCCCTGGCCACCCCATTGCGTCCCCCCATCACAGCCACCAAACACCCCCCCCCCCCAAGCCCCCCCCCCACACTCCAAACCCCCGCCTCCACAATCCCGATACCTCAAACCCCATTCCACACGTGGCTGTGTGGTTGACGAGGCATGAAAACGCAGACGATGCACTGCCGACCGAAATGATGACGGGAAAAAAAAAAAAAAAAAAAAAAAAAAACAACTACCCATACAACTGTGTGGAGGGCACCCGCACACAGTGACACTCACTATCACACACACACTATGCACCCTACGTCGCCGACCGACCACGGATGGCGGCAGCGATCTCCATAAGCGAGTGGCACATCATCCTCTGCGTCTCATCGGATGCCGCGTAGTGCACTTTCTGGACTGCAACTTCCTGCTCAAGTATGTCGCATTGCCTCGTGAATATGCTGCATTGCCACTTGCTAGATGATTCGATCATCGACAACATCAATTCGCCATGGCGGTCTATGACATCAGCAATCGACTCCAACGCCTGTTGACGCGCATTCTTCTGCTTACCGCCTCCAGCCCCGCTGGCTGCGTTGTTGTCGGAGTCCCTCGTAGTAGAACGTTCTTCAGGGAGGCCTTCACCAGCGCCCTCACTACCAAAAGACTCCCCAGCACCCGCTCCTCGCCTGGGAAGATGCACCCCGTCCGGACTTCCGGTGTCGGCGATGTTGGGAGGGAAAATTGTGTGGTTGCCAACCATGCCTATGTGGATCTCGTTGTATAGCATCCTTTCCATCCGAAACTTGAAGTTGTGCTCCTTCCTTTCTTCATTCGATAGCCGGAAGAAATCTGGCCGTCTACTCGCATTCTGAAACCTCTGTATCTTCTTGTAGTTTTGGAAGATATTGTCCCACTTCTTCATGCAGTCCTCCGCGTCTTTAGGCCTCCCCGCGTTCGCCATGCGCTTGATAATATCTTCCCACTTCCACTCCTTGGTCCGCATCCGCCCGTAATTGTGACCGAGACCGGCGAGGTGCATCTCTTGCTCCTGCTTGCATCTCACCTGTTGGATTTGCTCTTTCGGGGACCAGTACGTCTCAGACTTCCCGCCGTCATCGCTGACGCCACCTCTGTCCCCACGGCCAACGGATCGACCACGAGCAGCGCCCCTGCTGCGTCCTCTACCCCTCCCACCCGTCTTCTCCAAAGGCCGAATAAGAATGTCGTCGTCGTCGTCCCCTGCCTCCACGTCCTCCCCGAATCGTTCGTCTGCATCGCCACCACCACCACCATCGTCGTCGCCGTCATCGCTGTGTGCCCGCATGTTTGACACTCCTCGTGTGATGTTCTCCACACTGGGTGCTGGACGCACCGCTGGTCTGCACGTGTCGTCGTCCCTGAGGTCGGGTTGGGGCGGCGTTGTGGTTTTGGGCATCGAATGAAGTGTACCGCCGATGCGCAGGGACCCGACTGCTACTCCATTGCGTGCGGGGCAGGTGCTTGTCAATGGATCGCCGGACGGTGCACTCGATCCATGCTGCCGGCCTGCTGACGATGGCCCGACACCGCCAGTAACGGACGCACCGCCACAAAGTGTGGACTACTCTGTATGCCGACTTGCAGATTGTTGAACTCCACGTGGTGAAGGATCGGCGTCGATGATGAACGTGCGGCTCGCCTCCCTACCGCCGCCAGAACACAACCCGAACCGGAGATCAACTTCCCCGCCGTCGTCGTCTCCCAAGCCCTGCTGCGGGAGTGTCGTGTACTCGCTGAGTCCGTTGCTTGCCAACCCACCTGCGAGCACCGTCTGCGACAACAGCTGCGTCGACCCGCTGCCGAGAGGAAACGTTGGAAGTTCGTCCCCCTCCGGCTCCTCACCTGAGGGAGGCAGCGGCGTCTCCCACGACGGCAGATGGCTGTACATGGAGGGGTCGTACCGCAGTGAAGGCTCCGTCGTCGCAGGTTTTCTTCCGCCCTCACCTGCAGGCGGAACGACGCGTGCCTGCATGCCCGCCATGGGACGTCCCTCTTGAAGCACACCGCCTTTCGTTGACGCCCTGCGCTTGTGACGTTGCTTCCACGGCCGGCACGACAAGCACAAGTGGAGGAAGACGACAAAGAGGAAGACGACCACAACGAGAAGCAGCAGAGGCAATCTCCTCTGCATGTCTGCCATGAATTCGACGTCGACAGGCGACCTTGCACGTGACGTCGTGCTGAACTTTCTCCTCGCAAGCCCGCGGACAAGAACGCTTGGCCTTCATATGCCGTCGACCGCCAGCGAAGACGACAAACGATGCCGCCTGCGATTCAAAAAGTGGCCGTTGGTGCCCACGGCACCTTCGTGTGTCGTCGTGCGCACGTCTGGGGACTCCTCCATTGCTTGCACCCGAGCCAACGGTCCGCAACGGCCGCCTGCCAGGCCACGCTTCGCCCCGCGCGCTCCACCCCACCAGCCAACGGCTACCGGTGGGGGCCATTGTCGTCGTCGACCGGCAGAAAACCTCCGATGTCCGCCCACCGACCCGACGGACCTCTCCTGGACCAGCACCTCCGTGTCGACGATGCCATTCTCGCGACGCGATGACTCCGTGAAACGCGGGAATCCTAAATTTTTCAGTAGGTCCGGAGCTACAGGAAAATTTAGGACGATTTGGCTGGGGAATCCTAAATCTTTTAGGACAAGTCCTAACGCCGTTTTCACATTTTCGATTCCCGCGTCCGATTTAGGATTGCGTGCAACCAAGACGCAATCCTAAGAACAGGAACTTTTAGGAGTGTCTAACGAGACCCTTACCACCGTGCCGTCGGCCAGGAACGACCCACTGTGAAGAAGTTAAAAAAAAAAAAAAAAAAAAAAAAAAAAAAAAAAAAAAAAAAGAGGAAGAAACAAACAAGGGGAAAAAAATGACGCGATAACTTCAGTAGAGTCACAAAAATAAGTTATAACTGCACTATGGGGCAAGATACAGTTTGCAATTGCACTTCGGCCACCCTACCTGGCCAGAAACCTGGGTTGTATACATTGCCCGAACTGCAATTTGAAACTGTATCTTGGCCCATAGTGCAACTATAACTCATTTTTATGACGCCCACGTAGTTTCCCCCAAAACAGAAACAACGTGGGGGAACGGCATGGGGAAACGGAGCGGGCACAGAAGGCGGAAAGGTGTGTGTGTGTGTGTGTGTGTGTGTGTGTGTGTGTGTGTGTGTGTGTGTGTGTGTGTGTGTGTGTGTGTGTGAGGGAGAGGGAGGGAGAGAGAGAGAGGGTGCATTCATCGAGGCGTCCCGACAAACGCACCTTGGAGAGAGAGAAAAAGACTCTCTCTCTCTCTCTCCCTCCCCTTTTTTTTTTTTTCCTTTTTTTTTCCAAGCGGATAAATCACTCTACCGTTTCTTTCGTTGTTTTCCTTTTTTTGGTGTTTTTTTCCCCCCGTTTGTAATTTTTTTTTTTTTTTTTTTTTTGGTTTTTAGGAAAGTCGACTTTCCCGCTACTGGTAGCCTCTGGTAGCTCGAGGTTCGGCAAGGCTCGGCATACCAATTGGCAGTAGCCGGAGGGTCGGACCCGATAGCTGGGAAAGGTACTGGTGGTTTAATAATGCGTTGCGGGATTGACTCAGGCTGGTGAAAACATTGAAAAGAGAGGAGCATGTGATGGTGGATGGGAAGTCGTCCAAGGTGTTGTACCGCCCATGGGCAACTCAGGTGGAGCAGGAAAAAGCCAAAGAAAACCTGCAGGCCAGTGTACTCCTCCGTACGTCGTATGGAGAGTCTCTGTATGTTTCGTGCGTACGGATGTACGAACGGGTCCCGTCCGAACGTGCCTGGGCCCGATGGGCGGTAAAGGGGGGCGTTTGAACCCAGGGGATGGTAGGGGGGTCTCTAGGGGGCCCATGGTATTTAAAAGTAATAATAATAATAAAAAAATTCTGTTGAAAAAAGAGAAAAAAAAAAAAAGCAAAATCGAAAAAGTCTATCGCTAAAACATGAAACATTTACCCAGATCCTTTCCCGCGATCTTGAATACTTGAGCTCTAGTGTGTATGTGTGTATGTGTGTATGTGTGTATGTGTGTGTGTAAGAGAGAGAGAGAAAAAGGGTAAGTTTCCCACCTCGCGCCTGGCCTCGTGGTACTTCCATCGAATGGATGAGCAAAACCGAATGAATCTACCGCTAGAACATAGCAATGTACACTGCCACACTTGTTTTCGTGTGCGCGGGCGAGTGTGTGTGCATGCGTGTGTGTGGGTGTGTGCATGCA